GCAGGAGTTTAGGGAATCATACCCTACAGCTGGAGTTCAAAGCTGTTGCCTCCTTATTTTATCTAAAAACACAGCCACATTTTCTGTTTCACAGTGGCAGATAAACACTGCTCCCACAATCACAAGCAGAAACTACAGAAGATGAAATCTTCAGTGATGCTCAGCAAGTTTCACTGCTAAAGACTTTGGTCGTTCTGTTCACTTTCTTTAGTTACAGAGGAGACAAAGCTTCTAGAATGAGCCAGTTCCAGAGCAATACGATGTAATACCTGTTTTAGAGTGGCTGACAGAAAGAACAACAAAATGAAATAGAAATAAAGACATCTGAAAGAAAGGTCCTAAGGATTTGAAGCAGGCAAGAACCCTCTCAAGATGATATAGACATTTTTTCTGCTGCTCCGAATACAAACAATGCCTCCTCCTCAAAGATGTCCTCCACCCAGATATTCAGACAGCAGACCTTACAACAATAAGCAGCAGAAATGTCAAGCCACCCAGATGAATAAGGAAAGTTTATTTATAGGTATACTTAACAGGACTAACATACTCCTCAAACTCACCTTCAGACACTTTGCACGAGTCTGCAAAGAACCACAGAGGTGATATCCTACACTATTTGCCACTTCCAGCTGGCCTAGTCTTTGCTTCATGGAACTAGACACTGGGAACAATTATGGAGCATAAGAAATCCATTTGGGCATTCCCTCACAGAGGGTAATGCAGGCAACAATTAATCTATGAACTTGCCATGCTACTCATGTGCTCTACAAATAGACTAAAAGCGTCTGGTTTCAGTAATGTATGCCATAACAATGCTTTCAAACTTTGGGTGGGCGCAAAACCAACACAATGCAAGACAAGACTCTGACAAACTTAATGGTGACAACATCGGCCAACAAAATGATCTCAAAGAGAAGAAGTATTCTGCAGATTAAATCAACAGCAAACTATTGGTATGTGGTTGAGATAGACACGCAGACAGACCTTTCTGCAGACCCAAGAAAGTAAGTCAGACCCAAGTCTGCAGTAAGACTACTCACTTGCATGTTCTGGTTGGAAGCACAGTACTTGCCCTGTATGTTCAAGGTCCTGTCCGTTTCCATCAACTCTGTCTGAATCTCCCTGGCAGAACAGCTCACACGTTCTGGCGAACAACCCAAAACTACTTCTTCGATCTGCAAAGCTAAGGACTGCCACGGTTAGTCAAATGAAAGGACCATGTATTAGAATATCTTGTTCATATTCACACCAAGAATGAACACTTGGGGAGAGACTACAAGAAACATAACTAACAGGATGTTCCTCTTCGGCATATCCTCCGATCAAGCAGCAATCAGCTGCTGAAGAACTGCTTGGCTTGAGTTACACTGAGACTGTCACTGTTCAGAGTCTGTACTGGGTAAATCCTCTATGAATCTGCCTAATCCCTCTTTTAACCAATTTACACTTTGGGACTCCAAAAATTCCAGTGGCAATACGTTCTGCAGCCTAACATTTCGTTCTTAAAAGTATTTACCTTTCATTTATTTAAACCTGCTGCAGCAGAGCTCCACGACAAGGTGATACAAAGCAGATGAGTGCTGACTTTTGATGTATCTATAAGAATCTGGAAAAGCTGATGGAGTTAGAGTTGAAGCTAGACCTAAGAAGGTGATGCTGACAAGCAGTCTGAGTGGGAAAGAAAGGAATGTCCCTGCCCATCACTGCAATTCTGTTTCCCTGACAATGAAGTCTTTTCAGTGGCTTTCAACTGCCAGCTGATGAGGATGAAGAGGGCAGCCCTCAGAACAGGAGAGAACAATGCTTTCTAGCTCTGTGAGTTGCTCTGAAGTCAAAGACCACCTGAGGAAATTACAGCTGCCCAGCTGCAGCAGGGTAAGAAATGCTACTTCTTCCGTTTGCCCCAGGCGTTCAGATTCATCTGGGCTTTCTGCTGAGCTTCACAGTGAGCCAAGCTGCCAAATGAATGTGCACTTCGCCTCTGGTAAAGCCTCTTCTCACTTTCTCCAACAGAAGAAAAAGAGCTTATGGTTTCTGGCAGATGCTGAAATGATCCACCACAAGTCATCATTTTTTATTCCAGGACCATCCAATGCACAGCTCAGTCACTGGGCTCTGGCCACTGGTCTGCTTAAAGTCTTCCTCTTTTCCAGTCATATACCTGGCAGCAAGGAGAACACAACTCGGCCAAACAAAGAGGAGGCAGTGCACTGAAACCCTGCGTGTTACAGCAGATACGACAGCTCTATAGGACACTTGGAAACTCCTTACTTAGGACTCAGCACCATCCTCTCTGGAATATTCAGTAACAGATATTCCTGGGAAGATCAAGTTCAAGGAGCGAAGTCCACCATACAACAGTGTGAAGCAGCCTGCTTCTCAGGTAGCATGCAAGAGTTTCCAAAGAAGTGATGGCATAGCAGAGGGTCCTCCCTAAGCGCACAGGACTGGCATAGAAAGCAACATCGACCACCAAATCCAACACGTGTGATTACCAGACCTGACCTGGCCTTTCTGCCAAAGAGGGGGCACATGGATCTCCTCTCAGACCTGGAAGCTCAGAGTGAGACATCTCTGAAAGGACACTCAAGTGCACCACATGACTACCTGGGACTTTATCTAGCTTATTAAAGACATCAGTGGTGCTGTAACTGCACACATCTTCCACATTTTAGTGTCCACAGATAACTATTAGCAGGGGAACATGTGGCCTACCTACAAAAATGAGGCGCTAACATTAAACATTTAATTAAAACCAGACAGTAAGAAAAAATACTGTTGGTACTCCCTCATGATGAAGCGAATACCTCAGAAGTCTCTACTGCCCATGGAAGAGCACAGCCACACAGTGACTGCTTTCCTCTAGCAAAGGAACAGCAACTGCTTGGGTACCTGTCCTAGACTTTTGCTCATTGACATGGATTCAGATTTTCAAGACTTTTGAAGGCTGAAGGATTTATCTTTTTCACTATCAGAGATCATTTGAAATATGAATTTTTGTAGTTACTAGTTAATGCTTTTAAGACACTTCAGTCAACATTCCAGCTAATTCCTACCTACAAGTTCTGTAAGACCTGAGCAAAACCCTGGAGGAAGTTCCTATTTTTTGTCCCAAATTTTAGAATAAACAGTAACACCCAACCTAGTATTTCTTGACAAAAACAACAGTGGTCGATACACATTTCTATCAATAAAACATTAAGAAAATAATATCATGTCCTATCAGCATGGTTTCAGTCAACAGATTGTCATTAACAATATTATACCTTCAGCGACAAATATAGCAAAAGCTAATTTCATTGCTATGACTTATCTGAGTTGATAGCTTTCCAGATTCAAGCAGTGCAAACATCTATTACAGATTGGTTAACTCATTTTAAAGCAAATGAATTTATGAAGAACCACCAGTAAGCTAAGCACACTGCTAGGGACCAGGTTTCAGTCCAGTCAAAATTATCCAGAAAGGAGCAAAAAGGATTTTTTTATTCACTAGTGTTTTGGAGACGCAGCTCTCTGAGTTCCCATCTGGCAGCCTAAACTTGGTCTTCAAAGAGCACAAAGCCCATTG